GTGTATGGAAGAAATTCTTCTTACATTGTGTGTGACTCCAGAGGACAGGGAGCTGTCATTGGAAGGAGGCAGATTTGGGCCAGTTAATGAAAAATCAAAACACGACCATACCCTGCATATCTTTGTAGGCATTAAATGCCCAGCAGTGCATTTAGACATAGCAGGCATTCTGCATATACGTATTGCACGGAACTGAATGTTTGATTGCTGCTCAAAAACGCAACGAGTTTGTCTTGTAGGGTAGTGACATGTGAGCAGAAGCTAGCTGGCAACCTGTTGTAACAGAGACTCCCATTCCCATAAAAAGAAATTCCTACGCCTTGCGCCACTCTACCTCTTTCCCAGCCATTCCCTGCTTCCCTCCCAGCCCGACTTGAAAGAGGAGACTTTGCTCTGTCCATGCCAGCCTGACTTTTAATTCTCCAGAGTATGTGCTCATCAGATCTAATCACCAAACATAACCCTCTCACTCCTTCCAATGCAGAGAGAACTGCTGGTTATTTCCTCCCGGAAGGGTTCTTCTCCCTTTCCTTACGGAGATCCCCTGGCCCATTGTCATGCTACCTTTCTGTTCCTCCTCAGCCTCCTCCCCTGACAACGGCCCACATGCTTTTTCTTTCATCACTCTTCTTCCCGTTTTCTCTCCCCAGGACATCCCATCCATTCTGAGAACTTAACTACCATTGAACACTGACTTCTGAACCTACACACTCAGTCCAAACCTCTTTCCTCATCTGCAGACCTGTCTCATTCGCCATTGGTATCTTAAAATCACTGCAGACTTAATGTCCCCCATCATCCCCACCACACGTGCTCTCTTTCCCCCATTTAACTTAATGCCATTACACATCAACCTTGGCCTCTCTCCCCTGCTCCCCAACTCCTATCTAATCAATAACCATATCCTCAATACTACTTCTAAATCTCCCTTGGATTTGTCACTACTTTTCATCCCACTGCTGCTATGGTGATTCAGACCTTAATCCCTTCCTTAAGCTATTACAGGGGCCTTCTAATTGGCTTTCTAGGCTCCCGTCTCCCCTTATTCTAACACAGCCTTCCTCTTGCCAACTAAAGTTTTATTCTTTTTTTTAATGTGAATGACCACATCTCTGCCCTATTTAAGAGCCTCTGGTAATTACCTATCATCTTTAGTATCAAATCCAAAGTCCTTACCTAAATCAAACTTCTTCATGGTAAGGCTACAACCCACCTTGTCATAGTCATTTTCAGCTCACACCAGACTTGCTTCTTCTTTCTGAACACAGTTTGCCTTTTCACAACTTTGTGCCCTTTTTCTTCCTGTTCCCTTTGGGAAAAGGCCACTCCTCTACACTTGGCCAACCCATCTCCTCCTTCAGTGCCCAACCCAAACTTCAGCATCTCTAGGAAAAAATAAATAAATAAATCCCTTTTATATTACAAGTCAGACATCAGGGCAAGAGATGTGGTATTTAAAGCAATGGACTGGGGATGCCTGCCAGGCTCACTTGGTGGAGCACGTGGCTCTTGATCTTGGGGTTGTGAGTTCAAGCCCCACATTGGGTGGAGATGACTTAAAAATAAAATCTTTTAAAAATAAATAAATAGGGGCACCTGGGTGGCCCAGTTGTTAAGCATCTGCCTTTGGCTCAGGTCATGATCCCAGGGTTTGGGGATCCAGCCCTGCATCAGACTCCCTGGTCAGCGGGGAACCTGCTTCTTCCTCTCCCACTCCCCCTGCTTGTGTTCCCCTCTCTCGCTGTCTCTCTGTCTGCCAAATATATAAATAAAAGATCTTAATTAAAAAAATAAAAATAAGTAATACAAATAAATAAATAAAATAAAGTGATGGACTGGATGGGTAATTGTAGAGAAGTAAGCCCAGGGGAGCTTCCGGCATTCAGAAATCAGGAAGGACCCAGCAAAAGAGATTGAGAAGGAACACAGGATGAGGGAGGAGGAAAGTCAGTGTGATATGATGGAAGTCAAGTAAAGAAAATGTTTCAGGCAGAAGGAAGTGAACATCTGTGCCAAGAAGCTGCTGAGAGCACAGTAAGGTGAGGATGGTCAATCGACGCTCAGATAGGACAACCTAGAAGTCACTGTGACCCTCTCATGTGTGTTTTCAGTGAAGTAATGGGGAACAAAGGGCAGACTGAACTGGCTTCAAGAGATAGAAATGAGGAAGTAGGTGTTTGTTGAATGGGTAAAGTATTGGATGAATGAAGAAATGATGTCTTAGAGAGGATTCCATAATTGGTCAGGAACCAAAATAGATAGAGTTATTTTGAACTCTCAGTCTCTGAAAAATTTCCAAATAGAAACAAGGATGCAATTGCATGATGCAAAGCTGTTCTTAAGTGACAAGGGAATTCAGAGTAAGAGGAAGCAAGCGGCAGAGTTATTCCAGGGAAGGTTCCATGTGAGTTCTGTAGTGATCCCTTTTTACCAACTGCTGACCCAGTTCATGAAGACGTCCTTCGTGCGGGACGTCTCAGAGGCTCCAGGGAGGAGCAGTTCCTGCAGGCACTTACGTGCAACTTATTCGGAGACTCTTTCCAAACACCTCTTGCTAGTGTGTGGGGTTGCCGTAAGAAATCTGTAAGCCCAGCTCCCATTCCTTTGAAGGCTGGGCTGTACCACATCTGAATGATGAGAAAGAGGTGAGCAGGAAAAACCTGACCCATCCAACATAGTGCATTGAAAATGCTGTTTGGGGGAATATTTCTATATAAATTTTTATACTGAAATAATAATGGAGATGGGCTAAATGATCACCTATAGTTGAGGAAGAGGGAGTCTGTTCTTACCTGCCACCCCCTGGAGTATAATAGTAATGAAACATAGAGAATACAGACTTTGGGTAGACTAGACCCAAGCTTTGATTCTGTGACGTTCCTCAAGTGGTCAGAGTCTTAAAGGGCACTTTGGTATCGATCCCATGTAGAATGTCTTTTTACTTCCATGACCGAGGACAAATAACCTCAGGACCCTAGATTTCCCTTTACAGAATCATCCATGGTGAAGTCCAGGGCTTGGGTTGTGAAATAGAACCCACCATAGAATAGTCGATGAACCTCCTGTCATATCGTGTCTCCCGCAGTTCCCCAAATGCATAGGTGCTCCTATTTTCCTGTTCATGCCTTTGCCCATGCTGTGTCCTCTACGTGGAATACCCGAATCCCTTTTTCCTGGCATGCTGAGATCTAAGACCACCTTCTCAAGGAGGCCTTCCTCATCCTCTCAGACACAAACCGATCCCCTCTCCATGCTCCTCAAACCATTTTCATGTGTCATTCCATGTCCATACCCACCGCACAGAACTACGGTTGTTTACTTCTCTGGCTGTTTACTCTCACTAGGCTGAGTTCCTTGAAGTCAGTGATGTGGTCTTCTTCCTATTTTTATTCTTTGCGTCTAGAATAGTGCCTGTGCATTTTGGGCACACACTCACTGTTTTGAATGGATGTATGAATGCTTGATGGCATTAATGAATGAATGAAAGAATGAATACATGGAAAGATCAGAAAAAATGTTATCCCCCAAGGAATCTAATAAACGCATAGAAGTGCCATTGGCTTTACCTATAAGCACAATCTGGGCAGGTAAGGGTCCTTTTGGAATCCTGCTGAGATGACAAGATCATCACAACATAATGTGTATGAAGAAGAGAGATTACAATCGACTAGTAATACGTCTAGCACAGGTTGGTGAGAACTGTGAAAGCAGAGTTGTGTAATGAAATTGATTGTTTTTGATCTTGATTTGAGACAGAGAGTTGATCTGTAGGACACATGAACATTTTGGTCTTTGTTGTTTCTTTTAAGCAAGATATTTTTCATCTTAAAATGTAAGGGCAATGTACACCTTAATAAACTGTTTATCTAAAGCAGGACTTCCTTGTGGAAGGAAGGAAGGAGGAAGGAAGGAATCAGCTTTTATACCTTTAAAATGGAAGCTATGTGTTACATTGAACTGGCCATTTTATACCAACATGACTTGGTTTCTCTCATACATACTTTGTAAAACGATAATAGCCCTTACTAGTATTTACATTGTAAAAGTGTTGTTACTGTAAATTAGACAGTATAAAATGGGTTTTGATGTCTTCCCTGAAAGACATGCACTATACACAAATGAGGTATTATTATTATTTAGTTTTTCCTTTTCAATCTCTTTAAATGAGAATTAGATGACGACTCGGCTTTAAAGCAATATCGGGTGGGTAAATGATTATTGACTGAAGTGAAATGAAAAAAAAAAATCTTTAGCTGAAAACTCAGTGTAGCCGGTCTGCATACAAGGCAAAAATATTGTATTTGTCTGTGATGTTCATCACTGTTTTTATCACCTCTCCGTGCTGTAATCACAAACTGACGACAGTGAAGGCTTTCTGTTCAGTCATCGTGAGCATTTTTGAGAATATGGACGTCCTGGAATGATTACAGTTTGGCAAAGTTGTTTCAACTAATCAAACCACCAAGCTAGTTTTGTTATTGATTTAGGGCCTAAATGAACTTTGGCAGGCCTTTCCTTCCTCGCCTGGTTCTTAGGCTCAGGGATGCCGATTCACTACAGAACTTTACAGGTTAGTTGCTGCCAGTGCTTCTGTGTTCCCCATTCGCACCCCCCTAGGCAAGAGCTTGTCTAGCTTCCTCTTGCAATACAGCATTATTGCAGAAGAAGGGTTGTGGAAATAAGATTTGGGAACTTGTGCATGTTGGGATCTTGAGTTCACGTCACAAAGGACTGAAAGTACACACTGGGAAGATTCGGGATAACAGAGCCAGTGGGATGGACTCACTGTCCAGCATAACTGTGCCTGGCTTCTGTGTGTGTGTGTGAGCAAGGGCTTCAGCCCATTTCCAATTCTTGGTCCTTGCTGTTGGACAACTTGCTCCACCTGCCCCACTCCTCCCCTCACATCCAAACCCCTTACAGTGTTTCTCCATTATGTATTGGCTCACCTTCACTCCCTAGGACCAACCTTCAGCATTGTTGACAGCAGTGGTCATCTGTTTTCCACCTGACCCATGTATTTTGGCTTCTGGATTTTGTTCTCAGAGAGGCCCCCTGCTTGGATGGCGGTCTGGCCAGCTGTGGGGCCAGCTGCCTTCTCCAGACTCCAAGGTGACCAAATTTCTCTCTTCTCCTTCTAACTGGCCCCAATACATAAGCTCTGGCAAGAAATGAATGATAATGATCATGTGACAACTGTATTGGACCAGATTTTTACCTGTGGTGGGCAGCTCAGAGAGGCTAGGTTACATCAAACACCACAGTGGGCCTGAGGTCCAGGAAGACTGTGCGGGCCCTCGAGGCCTTGAGAAGGATCGGGTGCCGAGGAAGAGCTGGGTGCAGAGCAGAGAAGGCAGATTGAGTTTACTCTACAGTTTTAGCCACATCCAGCACTGATGGTGGAACCAAGGGCCCCCACACAGGGCACGCCTGCAAGCAAGAGTGCTGCTAGGTAGGAGTTGAGCTACAGGTGACTATAGGTGGTGAGGAAGCCTTCACGGCAGCCCTCTTTTCTTCCCTTGGGGAAGAAAATCGAGAGATTATATCTTCCATTTGTAAGGCAAACTTTCTGAAATAGCTGTATAGATGTTGTTCACTGGCTGTGTTTGTTCCTCAATTCATATGACCTGGCTTCTGCCTCCACTGGCCTTTCTTGCCCATCCACTTAGGCATCTCCTCGGTCCTCCCCCCATGACTGCTTCTCAGCCTTCTTCTTGATCTTTTGACAACATTTGCCTTTGTTGACCACAACCTACTTGTTGAACCATGCTTTTCCTTTGTCTTCTGTGATACCTCACATTCTTGTTTCCCTTGTCTCCCTCTGATTGCACCTTCATACTCTTTTTTTTTTTTTTTTTTTTTTAAGGTAACTTTGCCCATCTCTTAAGGTCGGTTTTCGTCTTGGGCTCTCTTGAGCCTTTTCTCTTCCCCGATGCTCCCTCGGGGTATCTCGTTCATCAGTGTGGATTCTATTGTTGCCTGTCATGCATGGACGATTCCTACACCTGAATCCTCAGACTTCTAGACCAAACTACCAGCTGCTACACGGCCAGTGTTCTCTGGGCATCACACACCAAACACGACCTGGTCTGAACTGGACGCTTCTCCACAGCTCCTCTGTTTTGTGTTTCCATTTTGCTGTCCTAGTGACTGACACCGCTGTCTATCCAGGTGGTCAAGCTGTCTACCTGGGTTGTCAAGCCAAACATCTGAGCAGCAGTCTTGACTTTTGCCCATCAAAACTCGAACATTCAAATGATCACACATCTTAGAGACCATCTCCTCTGTGACATAGCTTGTATGCTTCTGAATAATTTGGGCCCACTTACCTTTCCAATCCCATCTCTAACCGCTCTGTCTCAGCTATGCTGAGCTCACGTTCAGTGCTCAGACGCCCAGCAAGCATAGTCATTTCTGTGACGTCCCAAATATGCATCCGCCATACCCTCCACCTGAAACAGACTTGCCCCATTTCTTTTTATTTTTTAAGATTTTATTTATTTGTTTGAGACAGAGAGAGAGAAAAGAGAGACAGAGACTGCATGAGTGGGGTGAGAAGCACAGAGTGAGAGGGAGAAACAGGCTCCCCACCAAGCAGGGAGCCCAACGTGGGGCTTGATCCCAGGACCCTGGGAGCATGACCCAAGCCTAAGACAGATACTTAACTGACTGAGACACCCAGGCACCCCGTCCATTCTTTTTTTAAAACCAACTCCTTCATACTTTGTAAGTCCCCACATACAAGTCTCTAACTTTCAATTCTCCCAAAGTCTGGGTCAGGTGACCCTCCTAGAGCTCTTGGGACACTTCTTTATCAGAGATTCCTTTCCTATTTCTAGCTTGCCTTCTACTATAAGCTCTACACTAAGGCCCCTGGAAGCAGGGACCATATTTATCCTATTCATCTTTGTATTCCTAGTACCAACACAGTCATTGGTACAAAATAAATGCTCAATGAATGAGGGAATATAAATGTTAAAAGTATCATTGTGAGAATATAAATTTTGAATCAGAAAATGCAATTATCTGGGACTTATCGAATCCCTCTAATATCACAAGGAATTGAAGACTATCTAAAACTCTTTAGAAGAATTTATCAACATTAGAATCATGAGCAGAGAGCAGTTAATAGAGGTAGATTTTACATCTGTCCTTGGTGGGCTTCTTTTCCAGAATTCAGTATCCAGATTCTCTAAGACATGTTTCGGAATCACCCGAGCATCCCATCCTCCTGAATTTTCATAAATTACTGGATTCATAACCCACTCCATACTTGAGAAGATGGGGATTGGAATAAGGTAAGTGTTAGCTTCTCTGTTTTTCAATTCTTCAATTCTCCTCTCTGGAGTCTTCATCAAGAGGTGTGACTGGTTTCCATTCTAGTCTTGATGGCCTCACAATGTTTGACTATCCTATGCATATGAAGAAATGTTGTGAAGTTTCTTGAGGAATTATGTCCTTTCAAATATATTCTTTTCTGTTTCATGACTGTTTACATTCTTCATATCATTCTACCAATTTTTTCTTAATGTGAGTCCACATAAAAGAAAGCGGACTTCGGAAAATGAACTTGCCGCCCACTTCAGGACACTTTTTGGTCCAGATGCACTCTAAGAATATAGGGCATGAGCAATGAAATTAAACTTCAAAAACAATTCTGCATTAGCCATATTGTGTATGGACCACTCCCCATTCCTTCCCACTGTCAATCTTCCTTAGCCCCATACCTGCTTTAGCTTTTCATTAGAAGACCTTAGTATTATTTATTTTTAAAAATTTATTATCTATCTCCTCTACTAGAATGTCAGCTTGTTAAGGGCAGGGATTTTTTTTTATTCCCCACTTTATACTCAGCACAGGGAATAGTAATGGATACATGGTAGGCACTCAATAAATATTTGTGGATTAAATGAGTGAGGTATTTTTTAACAATTTCTTAAGAGGCTGCTGTACACCTAGGTCTCTAGAGATCTAATGCAGGTCTGGTTTGCAGCCCCATCCCCCTTAACACTTTTATTGATGACTAAGATAATAACATTGATGCTGTGATAAATTGATAGATGACACACCAACTGGAAAGGATAACACATGAGCTGGATGATACTGTCAGGATCTCCCCTCGCCCCCTGACTGAATCCTGACAAAATGTAATAATGAATCACATCTAACAATATAAAGTTTATTAGTGACAAGTGTCAAGTACTCAAAGATTCAAAATTCAATTGTATAAGTAGAAATTGGGGGTGAGATGTCTTACAGTTGCTAATGTAGGAAGATTTAAGTCTCCTGTAGATTGTTAGTAGATGATGAGTCAACACAGTGTGATGTACTTCAAAAAAAATCAATCTTTTGCTATATTAATAGAAATACAGTGTTCAGGTGGGGAAGTAGTTCTCTAGTACTCACTTGTGATCAGGCCACATTTGTTCTGTGTTATAAATCCTGATCTTCAACCTGTAAGAAAGACATTGATAAACAAAAGATTATTGAAGAAGAATAAAAAAGTATAAGGGATCTGGTAAATAGTGTCATATAAAAATGATTCAAGAATTTAAGATTGTGTGTGGGTATGTGAGGATGGAGATGATGGCTAGCATATGTAGCTACCTTCCAAAGTTAGAGGGGCTATCCTGCAGAGGAGAGATGAGATTTCTTCTGAGTAATCCCAAGTGACAGATGGAGAACCCCTGAGAAGAAGACATAAGCGTGTGTATTTCAACCCAACAATTTGTTAGCTTTGCCCATCAGTCAAGTAGATAACTGTTCATAGTAAGTCCCCTGACCCTGATGGTATTGAAGCAGAATCCAGGCATTACTGCCCCATTTGTTGGGTATATATATGATGGGAGTTCAAACACTGGGGTGAAGGACCACATTCATCACAGGAGCAACCACATATAGAGTGCCTGCTATAGGGCAGGTACCATCAAACATGATTAACGTGGATTGTTACATTTAATACTCAAATCAGTCCTAGTAGTTCCAACTTACAGATGAAAAGAGTGAAGCTCAGAGGGGTTAAGCAACTTGCCCAAGGTCTTACACCTTGTACAAAGCAGAGCAAGGACTTGAACTTAATCAGTCATATCTCTGACCTTAATTATTATTTTATAAAGGATTCCCACTTCTAGAAAACCATTCCTTCCCACCTTGACGTTCTATCACTCTAACGAAGTAACCAAACCAGGTAGCTTATTATCTCCAGTAGTAAATGATTTTCTAATAAATAGTTTCTTTCAATATAGTATGAAGGGACTAAATTCTTCTGGGCATTTGCCACTTGTGGTTCACCATATGTAGCCCAGCATAGGACCTGGCACACAATAGGTGCTCAATAATAATTTTTTTAAGCAAAAAAAAAAAAAAAAAAAAGAAGAAGAAGAAGAAGAATGTAACCACACAAATTGGCTGCATTGGAAATGACAAAAATCTCAATATATTGTGCCAGGAGAGGAACAAGAGAATTTCTGGGTGGTCTCCTGAGGACACTCGTCAGAAAGTGGTAATCCATCATTTTCTAGCAAAGGCCTTGAGAATTCCTGCTCAGTTTGGACAATATTCATTCCAACAAATATTTATCGAGTGCCTGTCCTATGCTAGGTGTGACCAACATGCTGAGGGTCCAGAGGTGAATCAGAGGATGTACTGTTAGTGGGGGAGATGGACAGGTAAGCAAATTCTTACAATACAATGTGACAAGTGCTGTCGCAGGAATGTGTGTGTGTATGTGTGTTTTTCAAGTATTACAGAAGCACAGAACTAATTCTATTTGGTTGAAAGAGTTGCCTGATACTTGTTCACATTTCAAAAATAACTGCCACGTACTTATATAAGCTTATTTGGTCTTCATAAAGACCACATGAGGTCCGCGATCCTTTTTTGTACAGAAGATGAAATAAAGTTTCATGGAGGTTAGGTGACTTCCCCCAAGGTCATGCAGCTGGTTAGAATAATTGCTGGCATTTAGTGCACACTTAGGCTCTGCTTTAAGCCCTATTAAGACATTTTTAAAAAAAGAGATTTACTTATTTATTTTAGAGAGAGAGGGTATAGGGGGGAGGGGCAGAGGGAAAGAGAGAATCTGAAGCAGACTCCAGGCTGAGCGTAGAGCCTGACGTGAGACTCATCTCAGGACCCTGAGATTATGACCTGAGCCAAAAACCAAGAGTGGGATGCTTAACCAACTGTGCCACCCAGGCACCCCAGCCCTGCTAAGACATTTAATCCTCACGACTACTGTCTGAGGCTCTTATTGATATCACGGTAATTTTAGAAATGGGAAAACTGGGCACAAGATTTAAATGACTTGCCTAGAGTCATAGAGCTAGAAAGTGGAAAACGAGGATTTGCACCTCCACGTTCTGGCTTTCGCAGGCACACACTTACCCACTGAGATAAATTACCTTTCATTGGTTCCCTAAAGAGCTGGAACTCACCTGGAGTCTGACTCCAAGTTCAGTTGCCTTTCAAGTGACCTTGCCTTTTAGCCATATTGCATCCAAATGAAAAGAAGTGCTGTGTGCCTGGGTATAAGGAGAGGTCCTGTGGGTTGGGTATCCACAGAAGTGTTTCGGGAGCGGTGTGGCAAAATCTAGAATATGCATTAGTTGTGTACACAGAGTTTTTCAGAGCGGCCAAAATTTGGCTTGTTGTTCTTCAGGTCAGCACTCTGAACTCTAGGAATGATGATTGGTTACTCATAGGAACTAGCCACCAGCACTTAGCCCGCAGCTTTTTTTAAATCAAGTTTAAAGTTTTTAAAAGAAGATGACAGGATGTAAAACATTAAGAATGAAGCAAGTTAAATTCAATACCTTAAAAATAAGCAAGAACGGAGTTACAGAAAAGGAGAAATGAAGCACATAATTGCTTAAATTGTCCAAGCCTTTTCTCTATAATAAAAATTCTTGGATTGAAAAATAGTTCAATCCAATATTATTGTGCTTTAATAATTAAGTTGAGTTGGCTCTGTGGCAAATCTGAGAAAGAATTGGTTATTAAAATGAATGAAGTGGATTACCCTTCCCTCAATAATTACTACTTCAGCTGATGTGGATATGACCCAGGCAATGGAGTCGACTGCATTTTTTAAGACATACATCTCTCCCAATTTTTGGAGATTTGATCATTTTAAAATTAGCTGCAGGCTGGGATTTCTGTGGTAGGTGGAGAGGCAGAAAGGGTCAATGTTCTTCAGCATTCATTCCTTCGAAGCGGGTGGGATTTGGGGTTTTGTTTGGTTTTTAGTGTTTTGTTTTGTCCTTTACGGAGACCTGGTAGATTCACTGATTATCTTGGCCTTTGTGTTTATGGATTTCTCTTTTCTTGGCTTCAGGTCCTTGGAAACATTTGTTTTGATGATGGCAGGAGGGTTAGTCATGTTTTATTTTTGTTGTTCCTATTTATTTTTAAAATCCTTTCGTTCAGGGCAACTTACAAGGTATTGTGTAACCTGCATTTATGTCTCCACAAATAAAATACTCTTAGAAATAACTTCTAATACAACCTTAGAGGGGTAGTTAATAATTTGATGCCCAGTTCATGTGCATCAGAATGAATCTGTAGTATTAGCAGCTAGAATAAGGGTATGCTTGGAAAAAATAATGTTTGAAATTTATAATTGAATTTAGCATTTAGACTTGAAATTTCCAGGGTTTGGTTTTTTTTTTAAGATTTTATTTATTTATTTGACAGACAGAGATCCCAAGTAGGCAGAGAGGCAGGCAGAGAGAGGGGGGAAGCAGGCTCTCCACTGAGCAGAGAGCCCGATGAGGAGCTCGATCCCAGGACCCTGGGATTGTGACCTTAGCCAAAGGCAGAGGCTTTAACCCACTGAGCCACCCAGGTGTCCCGAAATTTCCAGTTTTGTAGATCAATTAATTTTGAGTTACCAAGCACACAAATTCTTATATTTTCCTTTGCATCGCCAAGTCAGTAAAAGTTGGAAAATTCTTTTCTCATACATTCCGTTCTTTAACTAAGCCTGAAGGTAAATGGCTTTTAGAAACCACACCCCAAACAAACAGTTTTTCATAGAGTTATGAGTAAATGAATAGAGTGGGCTCTCCTAGCATTTGGGTTATACATCTAATTAGAACTCTCAGTATTTCAAACATATAATTTACCAACGTTGAGGTTTTTAATTCTTAACTCGGAGTCCACTGGGATAAAACAAGTGACCTCTGTTGGAAATATGTCAAGAATCAACTTTCTCAGGCTGACCTTTAGTTTGTTGGTCACCACATCAAAAGCTGTTCGTTCCCAGGCTTAAAGATGTCTGAACTTACTTAAGTTTATTAAAATGTCAAGGCAGAAAGCTGGCTTGGCTTAGCAGCTGTGAAGAACAGATCGCCCCCTCTCTTCCCCTCGATGCTTCTTAGTCGGTTTCTCCATGAGAGATGTTCCTTCTCAACTGGCTCCATCTTTGCTCTAATAGGAAACATGCTGCACCTCTTGCCCATCTCCCATTGTGCATGGGAGGCAGAGAACCCTGCTTTTACAATGAGACAGATGAATATCATACTTTGAACTAACTTGATACAATTTCTAGTACAAGGCTCCATCCTAGGCGCTAAGGTCAGCTATAAACGCTTTCAACCACCCGTGTTCATCACTGAAAAGGGGTATCACAGGATTTGCAGTATGCTTGATTACTGTGTGACCTTGAGCAAGAAACTTAACCTCTCTCCAAAATAACTATTTCATAAGGTTATGGCAGCGAACTGAGATTATATATGAAAATACTTAGCACAAAGTGGGGAGCAGAGTTGCAAGTGTAGATTGAAGTTACGTGAAGCCCATAATCGTCCATGGAACCTCAAATGGACAAATGGACCCAAATCAGCATTATCAGCCCCTAGCCATTTGTTAAATCAGAAAATTTCACTTCCAAATGAATAACCACATCCACCAATGACTTTGCTTTAAAGTCTACATTTAGAACAAAACATTAATGATACTCTGCGAATATATTTTGAAAAGAAGCTGACTGTAGTTTCTTTAGGAGAAAATTACATGTGAACAAAAAGAGGAAGGGATACTAGATATCTTTATTTCAGAATAAATGAAGGGTTACTTATCTAACCGATCATTCAGATCATTCAGATCATTCAGATGGTATAATTATTAAATGTCCATATGTAATTACAAAACATGCTTGTTTTTATAAGTTGGTCTGAAACTATTTTACTGATCCCAAAGAACTAATTTCCTCCTAATCCAATGGCAAAGCTTGCAGTACACCGTATTAACTATTAATATGCTAAAATTACCCACTAACTATCTTTTTCTTTCATTGCACCTGCTATCATGGCCCTACATTGATGTCAGCAATACGAAAGGAGTGATTTCAACTGCTCGCTCTCTGTATCACTAGATTTCTCGCCTGTTCTCTTACTTCACTAGAAAGTAGAAGAGAGAAGCATTCCTCCCATCCACTTACCTATGAAAAAAGGATTCTCCGAGGCTGCCGGGAATGAACACTGTCGTAAAATTACAAGAAATTTTTGTTAAGAAACCTTTTCTCATCTGCAAGGTATTTGACTGAAACCTGAGGTGCTAGATTTCAGACAAAGGTGACTTTGGAGGAGAAAGTTGGTGCCAAGCTGGATCAGTTGTTTTTGTGTTATGTAAGGAGGACAAAAAAAAAAAAAAAAGGAGCTGTTTATTCCTAAGCCATAAATTTAAGATTATCCTATTATACCAAATGACAGAATTCCCAAAACTCAAAACTTAGAGTTATATTTTCATGAGCTATTATCTGTAGACACTCGAAGCTAAATATAATTAAATACTGAATAATTTGCTTTGCCCAGTTATATTTAAAATATACAAAGTTGTTTTATTCACTGCATCAGCAGTGAATTCTAGTTGAACTATGAAAACAGTATTGTTAAACAAAAGATTTTTCTTTTTAAATAGCTTTTTCCTGATTATAGAGAATATATGTGTGGTATAAAAATTATAGAATATACAATAGAGTAAAAAGAAAATATAAATCACCAAATCATCCATAATCCTATCATCCAGAGGTAACCACCATTAATATTTTTTGTATTTCTTTATAATAGATGTTTATACACACACCTCCCAAAATACCCACTTTATATAAATGCATATTAATGCTTTATTATAGAAAATTTAAAACATAAACAGAAGTAGGTAGAAAGCATAACGAACCCCATGTACTCATCGACCCATCAATACCTTCTTTCTCTTCCCTATTCATTTTATTTTAAAGCAAATGTCCAAAATTATATCATCTTTTTTGTTTGCATTTGTTTTTGTTTTTTTTAAAGATTTATTTATTTATTTTAGTGGGGGAGAGGTGGAGGATGAGTGAGAATCTCACTCATCTGGAGGCTGAAGGAGGAGATCATGACCCTGAGCTGAAATCAAGAGTTGGACGCCCAACCCATGAGCCACGTAGGCTCCCTGTTTTGTTTTTGTTTTGGTCACCGAGCCAACAAAAGTTGGAAAATTCCAAAAGTTGGGCAGAGGGACAAAGAGAATTTTAAGCAGGCCTCATGCCCAGTGCAAAGCCTGACATGGGGCTCGATCTTACAACCCTTATATCATGACGTGAGCCAAAATCAAGAGTCCAATGCTTAACTGACTGAGCCACCCAGGCACCTAAGAAATTGTATTGTCTTAATCATAAATATTCCAATTTGGATCTTTAAAAGATAAGGACTTTTTTTAAAAAAAGATTTTATTTATTTACTTGACAGAGATCACAAGTAGGCAGAGAGGCAGGCAGAGAGAGAGGGGGAAGCAGGCTGAGCACCCTGCTGAGCAGAGAGCCTGATGTGGGGCTTGATCCCAGGACTCTGGGATCATGACCTGAGCGGAAGGCAGAGGCTTGAACCCACTGAGCCACCCAGGTGCCCCTGTTTTGTTTTGTTGTTTTTTTTTTTCAAGACTGCTTCATAGGTAATGGTGTGTTTTGCCATTAGAAGGTGCATAATGTATAATAATCTCTTCTTTTATGTTATCTAGAATCCCTGGTTTATTAAGAATTGCAAAATAGAATTGAATTTAAAGAAAACAAAAATTTTTTAAAAGAATTGCAAAATAGTGATATTTTAGTCCTACTATTCCTTGAGTTGACTTTCTGGCATGTGCCAATAGCGGTCAAATAGGTGTTCTGTTATTTTGCTTTTATCGTTGCTGTTGTTTTTAGTTATCATTTGAACTCATTACTTGAAATATGTTCAATATATTTCAGTAGATCTTATTTAATTATTCTTATTAATGCTTAAATTATTCCTAGTTAGCCTCTTCAAATTATCTCCTAACTCCTTTAACATGACCCTACTAGTCTTGGATAATGTCCTTGTTATTTGGTATAAGGTGGTCTAGGTTCATCCCGTATAGTTCCACACAGTAAAAATCTATATATATTTAAGACATGAGTATGTATAAATAGAATACCAACCATAGGAAAGAAGCTATTTATAAGAGCAAAGACTGGAAACAACCCAAATGTCCATTAATAGAGGATTGGTTGAACAAAGTTTGGTACACTCACACAATGGATCTCTGTGCAGTTATAAAATTGAATTCAGGATCTTTATGTATACTTTATATGGATTGATTGATCTCTGGGATACATTGTGAGCACATAGCAAGAGGGAGAAAAGCAAACCTACCGTTTATGTAAGAATGGATATAAATATATATTTGCATACATAGATACACATATACACACACATATATGTGTGTATGTGTGTGTATATATTTGCTTGTATTAAAGATAAAACAGTGCAAGGATTAACATCACAAAATAATAGTTACCTGTAAAAGGGGGAAAAGAATGAAATAGAAGGGATGGGGATAGAAACTAGACTTGTTTACCTTGTTTTGTAGACTTGACTTTGGAATCATGTAAATATTTGACGTAATTATAAAAATACTAATTTTTAAAAATCCAATTCCTATTTTTTAAACTAATTTTGTATCCAATTGGTGGCACACAGAGCAATTATTTTGAATAACTTTAAAACACAGTAATTTGACTACATATCCCTAACGGGATATTTCCTAAGGACCAAAAGGACAGCAGAAACATTTTTAAACCATTTTTGATAATCCTATGGTTGGTGGTCGTGTCGATATCACTGGTCTGGACAATATGGGATAAGCAAATACTAATTATGGGATCTTCTAATTCTATCATGTTCAGTGTCCTTGAGAATCAGGAATCACAGCATGGGAGGAAGGAAATCAAGATGTAAAAGAGAAGAGGTTAGGTGGAAACCCTGTAGTTCTGAATTTGAATTAGAAGTTAGTGATATCAGGGGCACCTGGGTGGCTCAGTGGGTTAAGCCTCTGCCTTCAGCTCAGGTCATGATCTCAGGGTCCTGGGATTGAGCCCCACATCGGGCTCTCTGCTCAGCAGGGAGCCTGCTTCCCTCTCTCTCTGCCTGCCTCACTGCCTACTTGTGATCTCTGTCTGTCAAATAAATAAATAAAATCTTTAAAAAAAAAAAGAAGTTAGTGATATCAGGGGCACTTGGCTGCCTCAGTTGGTAGAACATGTGGCTCTTGATCTTGTAGTCGTGAGTTCAAGGCCCACGTTGGGCACAGCAATTACTCTTAAAAAAATTTTTTTTAAGTGTTTGTATTTACATATATTTCTTAGCTCCTCTGTTCACTGAAAAGACCTAGAAATATTGATTAAGCCAAAAGCAATGATCACTGTTGGTATCTATATTAGATCTGGCCAAGGCAGGAAAAAATCTACATACATATACATATATATCATAAACACATATATTCATGTACACATATACTTACTGTATGCGTGACATTAGTTATTCACCTATTCTTCTATTTCTGGACATTTAGGTTGCTTCCAGTTCTTTGCAGTTATATACGATACGACAACAAAGCATTTGTGCACGTCTTATTTCTTTAGTACCAATTCCTGTAAGTGGAATTACCCAGCCAGAGGGTAGGAACATATTTAGGCTCATGATTAGTATTGTCAAATCGCCTCTAGAAAGGTTATACCAGGTTACACACCAAGCGGCAGTGCGGGAGAGTGACTGCTTCATCCCCTTAATAGTTATTGATATTTTAGACATTTATATTGACATGTTTCTGCCAATATAATCTAAGTCACTCCTTTCTTTTTTTCTCCTCTTTGATTTTCTTAGAAAGAGACTTTAAACATTAAGAATACATGGAAAAATTACACAGATGTTACATTTTTGTGAATTAACAACTGTGTATCAACAAAGACTAGAATGGTCTTATCAAACTATGTCTATTACTTAAAATTAATGGGTGAGCTTGCTAACACTTTAGTTTCAAACAAACATATCATAAATGTATTGATACTAATTTTTATAGCTTTTTTGGTCATTTAGTAGCTACTTTTGGAAATTCCTGGGGTTCTTAATTATAACCCTACCTTTGCAGAACTCATTTTATATGTGGAACTATTTCCCATACATAGTTTACAAAGTTAACTAGCTTTGCAAACACGTCTTACATGTACCTTCGATATGCAATTCCCATATGAATATCTTGAAATAAATAAAGTAGACTATAGATAAAAATCATAGATGGTTAAAGCTAGAGGGATCTTAAAAATCATCTATATGGATCTAACTTCCTTATTTTATACCTGAGAAATCAAAACAAAGAGCATTGCATAACCACTACCACCCCCGACGTTATATGGCTAATTTGTGACAATGTGAGATAAAAATCCCAATCTGATTCAATATTGTGTCCTTTCCATGTAACTTCCTAGTGTTAGCAAAACTTCAAGGCCATATGTAAAAAATAAAAATAACTGTTGTGTTAGGGAAATGAGATTTGGGGTATTTTCCTTTAAAATTCTATTTTTATGCTACCTTTTCAATAAAAAAAAAACCTATGGAAAATAGATCAACAACTACATTATAAAAAATCAGGTAAAAGCACTTCTGTTATTTAAAAGCTAGAAATAAACTATTCTAATAGAGATATATAGGAATCAAAATATGTGGCATCTGAATGATATATATACACACATACATTCTACATACACACACATACGTACACTATTGCAAGCACTTTATTATCTCATTGAATTCTAACAATAATCCCAAGCACAAAGAGGTTATGTGACTTGCCCCTGGTAATGTCATGAGTGTCAGTCAGGATTTGAACCAAGGCAGTCATAGAGACAGTGGACTGTTCAAAGTTTCAAGCCTTTATGGTCAGTTTCATTGCTATGGAGGGTTACTATGACTGACTCTCCCAAGCTCTCTCCCTACAGGGTCAGATGTCTCACTTTAGAAATCCATTCATTTGAATAATTAATGATGGAATTCCTCAGAGCAAAAATTTTCAGGGACAGTGCTTCTAAACCCCTCATCTCCCATTTGCTAACTATGTGACTTTCCATTCCTTGTCAACAATAGTTTTCTGGGGGATTAAATAAGATAAATTGTATCCATTTTTTAGCAGAATACTTGCCACACAATAAATATTCAATAAATGATCACTGCTATCATCAGTATCATCATCGTCATCAATGTTATTAATATCATTATCAATAGCATCACCATTATTATTTATTTCCAATTAATCCCTTTTGAAATTCAAAAAATTGTGGAAGGAGTAATACATTATCCAAGGGGCTG